GAGACCAAAAAAATATATAATGTTACCTTGCAGACTTACTGTGAGGATCAGCGCCAATGTCCTTCCAGCCCCTGACACAATTCCTCAAGCATGGTAGGATGATGTGGCAGTTAACTAGCTAAGATGGGCTTAGATAGAACCTTCCATAACTGGTTGCTAAACTCTTCACAGTTTTTTTATAGCTTCTTTCAATAGAAAGCATTTTTTTGCTTTTATAGGAATTTGCAGCACCACCAACAGATGCCCCTGATAAAGGATATGTTGGTAAGTTAAGTGGTTTTGTAACTTTTATACACATACTTCACATTTAGTAATAATTGTAGTTAAGTCCCAGGAGTTGAGTTCACATAAAAAAGAAATTTATCTCTAACATTCGGAATATAGGAATGAAGCACACTCCCTAAGTTTTCTGTATCTTTGCTAGCAGAACACAGCATAATATAGACTTAAAATTTCACAAGTTTATCCTTTATCAAACTTGCTTGGTCAGTGTGTATACATTCAGATACCTGCCAAGAAAATAGAATGTTTTGAGTTGGCGTCTCACTCTGTCACTTAGGCTGGAGTGCAGTGGCATGCTTGACCTGCTGGGCTCAGGCGATCCTTCCACCTCAGCCTTCCTAATAGCTGGAACTACAGGCACATGCCACTGCATCTGGCTCATTCTTTTATTTATTGTAGAGACGAGGTCTCACCAAGTTGCCCAGGCTGGTCTCGAGCCCCTGGGCTCAGGGAATCCTCTCACCTCTCCCTCCTTCCCAGAGTTCTGGGATTACAGGTGTGAGCCATCATGCCTGGCAGAAAATATAATATTTTTTAGTCAAAGAACTGTCATTTGCAACATTTTGTTCCACAAAGATTCGTTTTATACCACTATGCAAATTTTTTTTTTTCATGTAGACCATTTGTTCTTTATAGTAGGAGTCAACATTTTTCAAATGTAAAGAGTTGTGTGTGAGCAGAGGGGCTATCTTCTGTTACAGGAAAGAAATCAGGACAACTTTTAGGGAGAATCGAGACCTAATACATGTTTTAATGTGTGGGAAAAACTATAACTTTTATTTTATCTACGCATGGGAGTCTTACAGAGACCAAAAAAATATATAATGTTACAGTGCATTCTACTTGAAAAACGTATCCATGGCCACAGTTGCCTTTGTGATGGATTGACAACTCAATAAGTAGAAGTTAAAAGGTTAGTTCATAGCTGCAGAGTATTTCTTTCAGTTCCTAATGTGGATCTACCACCCCTGTGTTCGTCGAGATTTCGGTCTGGACCTCCTGGAGAAGAGGCCCAAGTGGCTAGCCAGTTCATTGCAGATGTCATTGAAAAGTAAGACTACCATGATACAATTTTATGATCATTCATTTTCAGATAGTTTTTGACCTTTCATTTACTGTGTTCTCTGTCATTAAATCAAGTTCACAGATAATTCAGAAAGAGGACTTATGCATTTCTCCAGGAAAGGTAAGAGGAGTAGAGAAGCTGTAAGTTTTTATTAATTCTGATGTGTTTTCTGTGGTAAAAAGTGAACAGGGAAATTAAAATGACTAATCACAATAATATTAAATATGGTTGTCATAGTGTTTAAATGGAACTCAGTTTTAAAAAATCAGTGGTGTATAATTATCTAAACAAACTGTGTAGTTCATAAAAAACAAACAAGCTTGACTAATTTATTGCTTGTCTGGAAGCTGCCTTTTGAGCTAATATTTTTTCCTATAATTTTTAGAGAAAAATTCAACCATTTTTTATTCCTTATCACAGATTAGTTTCTGATGCTACTTATGTGTTTAAGGTGAATCAACACAGTAGGGAACAAGAATCTGTTTAACAACTTAGAACAGGTTGATTAGAACCTAGAGAACCTTTTCCTATTAGATCACATATTGATATGTTAGCACTGTAAAACCTAAACATTTTATGTATTAAATTATCTGTGGGGAGATACATTTTAAGTTTTAGCTAAGGCTTTCAAAAGCATTTCCTTCATCTGCTAACCTATTGACAAGAATGGAATTTCTATGTATATAGTTCACTTGAGAGAAATGGAGATGTTCACATTAGCTTAGTAGTCAAAAGCCAGCTTTCACCAAACCTGTCTGCTTTCTTTTGGTTTTCTACTTTACAAAGGTAAAGCATTTTTATAACCAAGGGTTCTTAAGCTGAAGCAAATAGCATGTTCTACCCACCAAAAGGCGTTAATTTATTTTTGTGTACTCTGTTTTAGCTTGCTTGGGTTCTATACTGTGATTTCATTTGCCTTGACTATGATGGAAACATTTTGGATGCCTGCACATTTGCTTTGTTAGCAGCTTTAAAAAATGGTAAGCAGCTAAATAAAAGGCAATATTCCTAATGGGTCAGAATGTGTTTTGTGAAACTTAATACACATTTGGTGTCTTGCATGTGTTTCTAAATTGATGAGCATAATACTGACACGACTTTCCAAGTATACTTGTAAGTTTTATGTTTTCTAGTACTGCCTGCCTTAGAGAGTGCTGTATTGATCATTTATTTGGGTTCAGATTTCAGTCCTTTCCAAAATAGCATTAATAAGAAGGGACAAGAGTAGGACCAGTCACCTACAGGCTGTGTGATTGATGAAGATCTGCAAGTATTCTTTTCTGAGTTCTTTATGTGATGTTGCTAAAAGGAGTATAGTGGATTTTATTGTTTTTACTGTGAGATCATGTAATAGTAAAGTTTCTTAGTAAGGAGTCTAGGCAGACTGATTTGTTACGGATTTCAGTGACTTGTGCATATTCCCTATCATTGCATTGTTGAATTGATGATATAACTGGAGATAGAAAATGGAGTTATCATAGCAGTATTATAGCAAAGTGGTTAAAGCAAGGACTTACTTTGATTCCTGGCTCTGTCACTCTGTGCTACTGTTTCCTTATCCATTATAAAATGGAGATAACTAATACAAGAGTGTTAATAAATGAATACAATGAGAATGTGAAAATGCTTATAATAGCACCTGGCAGGTAGAAAGTGGCTAGTGGCCAGGCTTGGTGACTCAGCCTGTAATCCCAGCACTTTGGGAGGCTGAGGTGATTGGATTACCTGAGCCCAGTGGATTGCCTGAGCCCGTGGGTTCAAGGCCAGCCCGGGCAAGTTAGTGAGACATTGTCTCTATAGATAGATAGATTAGATAGATAGCTGGACGTGGTAGTATGCACGTGGAGTTCTGGCTACTTGGAAGGCTGAGGCGGAAGGATTGCCAGAGCACAGCAGGTCAACACTGGGGTGGCCATGAATGTGCCACTGCACTCCAGCCTGGACAGTGAGACTTGAACTCAAAAAAAAAAAAGAAAGTGGCTAGACATGTTTTCTATTAACATCATTTTAATGTCAAAGCCAGATGCAGTGGCATGCACCTGTAGTCGCAGATACTTGGGAAGCTGAGGTGGAAGGATCTCCTGAGTCCAGGAGTTCGAATCCAGCCTGGGCAACATACCAAGACCACATCTCTTACAAATTTTTTATTTCAGGCAACCCCCTCGGGTCCCCTCCCTCTGTGGGAGCTTTTCTGTCCTCTCAATAAATCCTGCTTCTCAAAAAAAAATTGATTTTATAAACTTTAAAAAAATTATGTAATAAGTGCTAGTTAGGAATTAATGACAAGTTCTGAGAAAGTGTTCATATCCACTATATCTACCTTAGTTCTAAGATACTTTTAAAAAGAGAATGTTCTGGACAAGTTAAGCAGAGGGAAATGTAAATTAACAAAGCATAGAAACCATTCATTTACTGATAGTAGAGACTTTTACATATTTGCCTTTTTTCTAGTACAGTTGCCTGAAGTTGCTATAAATGAAGAAACTGCTTTAGCAGAAGTTAATTTAAAGAAGAAAAATTATCTGAATATTAGAACTCATCCAGTTGCAACTTCCTTTGCTGTGTTTGATGAGTAAGTTAATATATAAAGAGAATTTGTATATTTAAGGTTAAGGTAATGGATTGTTATTCAGCCTTCTCACTTTTCTGGAAATGCCTCAGGTGACCCTGCATCCTAGTTTGCCCTGGACATGTAAGTTTATGTGTGTTGTCCCTGCACCGTTATTTCTAGTTAACTCATTCACTTTCATAAGTATCCTATTTTGGACAATCAATTCTGTGGCTCACTTACCTATTCCTTGGTTTACTTATTCCTATGTAATATTATTTCACTAAAGAATTACCTGAAGCTACCTATGCTATTTGTCAAGGACTTTACTAACAAATTGAAGAGCAGTTTCTTTAAAAGTACTAGATCTTAGGTTGCTGTTGATTATTCTGGTTTCCTACCAGTTCTATTCTAGCTCTTGTATCTGGTATCAATACTTAAACTAAAATGCAGATATATGCTTAATATTTTTTTTTAAGTAAAATTTGTTCCGAGGATAAACTTAACACTTCTTCTTTTTATAGCACTTTGCTCATAGTTGACCCTACTGGAGAGGAGGAGCATCTGGCAACGGGAACCTTAACAATAGTAATGGATGAGGAAAGCAAGCTCTGTTGTCTTCACAAACCAGGCATGTTCCTGCCACTTTAGTCCTAGATATATGTAGATGAAAACTCTGTGAGCTGTACATTAGGGAGGGCCAAATAGAATGTAGGATATTTTACTGCTTAAATATAAGTTTATTATCATTTGCTACCTCAAATTACTTACATTTTTATATTGCATTTCAGTGGTTCTTAAACTTATAGCATACATTAGAATTACTTAGAGGTCTTAAAATGTAACTTGCAAATCTTGAGGCTGTACCCGATTTACCTTATCCATTTTTTGTGTGTTTTATAATTTGGCATGATGTTGATGTTTTTACAAAGTAAGATAACAAGAGATTAAGTGTTGGCACAATGGTTTTTCTTCAGGTGGAAGTGGGCTGACTGGAGCTAAACTTCAGGACTGTATGAGCCGAGCAGTTACAAGACACAAAGAAGTAAAAAAACTGATGGATGAAGTAATTAAGAGTATGAAACCCAAATAAAAAGCTACCACTTTTTGAAAACAATTTGTAAAAACTATATTTGTTACACTGTGCACAAACCTTTTATACTAAATAAATATCAAACCACATTCTTCTGAAAGATGTTTCTAGTATGCCTTACTTCCATATATTATGTACAGTGAAACCATTTTTTTAAAAATCAATGACTTAGGCAAACCAACCCTAGTCTGTGAAACCATTTCCCTGTTTTTATTTAAAAATCATAGGGTTGTGCTTCTGTATAAAGTTTGTACATCTAACAATGCAAAATACTGACACACAAAAAACAAAAACAAATGATGTAGAAATTCAATCCATTTGATTCAATGCTCTTGTGTTTTTAAAAAAGAAAAAAATAATAATGCAAGACTCAGAATTTTGGAGTTGTTGGCATGCCTCTCTTCATTTTACTTTTTGACTGGCTGCCTGTATGCTGATGACGATGTAGCTGAGCTGTTTGTGCTGCTGCTGCTGCCATAGCCATTTGATGCTGCAAGAATCGCAACTGCTGCAAAAGGGAAGGGAAAGAAAATCAAGTTATGTTAAATATAGACAGCGTGAAAAGGTGCTTTTTCTGAGAGTGACGAAAACAACAAACTGAAAGGGAGAAAGCACCAAGATAACAAAAAGGGACTATACCACATTGAGACAATGCACAGTCAAACAGCACCAGTGGCACAGAAGCCTGCTGAGGGCTTTAAAAATGATTCTTAAGTAAACTTCAAAATTACTTCTATTACTTTGCCCTGCCAGTCTATATCGCAGTAACTCAGCAACTTCAGTTACCATTATTTTTGTATAAAGATAGTTTATAGCAATACAAAACCACCCTGTATATCAAGACAGTCAACTATAATATGCTGACTTCTAAAATAATGGTATAACATTTTTCTAAATAAACAGGTATGACATTTACTAATAGGAACACTTTTTCTGTGGTACGATATTAGAAAGTTAACAATTGGCACTTACAATTGTCTATTTCAAAATATACTGCAAACTAAAAAAATGTATGTTAATGTGCCACCAGAACTTCATGAAAGATTTTAAATAGGAAAAGAGTCTAGCTTAAATGTACAGAATATATTTAGTGCTCCAAGTTGACTGGCTAATATGTCAGACTTTTAAGTAAGATTTGCTAAATTATTCACCAATTACTGTATAGTCTTAAAAGACAGTAAAGTAAAACTAAAGCAAGGTTATTTTGAGGTACTTTTGGAGCTAAGTATCTTTAAAAATGTAATCAGAGTGAAGTTGCTGGATTACTTGTATCTGTTGCTGCTGCTGTTGAAAGGCAGAGGAGAGCTGGAATCTCTGCTGAGGAAGGCTTTGCTCAGGTCTGTTCTCGGCAGAGCCAAGCTGAGACAACACTACAGAGAGGAGAAGGGGAAAGCAGGCCAGTCAAAAAGTTTGAAGGCTACCAGGGTTAGAAAAGGACAACACAGAAAATGAAATAATAGAAAAGTTAGCAGTATGATTAATCTTAAGTATCAAATAATAGACATTTCAGAATAAATTTAGAATAGTCTTCTGTTAGTTGAGGTTATCACTGATTATGAAACCTGGACACGGAAAGAGAAGGGAGTGCCATGTGTGCCAAAGCACTGTATGTATCCCTCTCTTCTGCATCTCAATGAAGTAAGATACTGGTGCTATTTTTGTTTAGAAGTCTGTCTTGTACAATGTAAAATAGAGTACATTATTTTAAAAGTATAACCAACTAAGTAGGAAATGGGGGATGGGAGAAATTCAAGCTATCATAATGACAAAACTGGTAGACAGTTGCTTTAAACAAAACTCAATGAATATCAGATTATTAACGAGGTACACTGAGACTATTATATTTTATGCTGAGTGGGACCATAAAAGTTCACTCATTTTACAGAAAGAAAGTTTAAGGCCTACATGATTTAAGTCACTCTGACTCAAAGTCGTAAGTGGCAAGTCTGTAGGTAGGAACATTCTCATGACTTTTCAGCCTAGAGTTCTTTCCACTAAATTACAGGTATTTTAGGAAATTTATAACTTCTGTGGTAAAGGTATATAATTATAAATACCCACTTGGAAATTAGTTGGCTCTAAGTTAGAACTTAATATAAAGAATTACTTATTTCTGAAATAAAGAACTTGATTATTCTAAAAGATTTATAAATTCAGACACTAGGAGTAGTATAAGAATTCTAAAGGCATCATAGTAAGTATGACAACACAGTCACCCAATCCTCAAACTCTATCATTGTTGTTTTATATATGTGGCTTACTGATTTGAACTAAATGTGAAGTCAGAATTGTCAGTTTACAAGATAATATTCATTAAAAGGCTCATCATTTACTGCTGAAGTGGTGAGTACTATGTTACTGGTCATTAAGATTTAAGTTATTTATGCAACTACAAGCTACTAGAGTGAGACAAAAGGTAATGCAATCTAGAAAAATGCAGTCTCGATAACCTAGGAAAATGGAAAAGTTATTAAGATAACTACTGGCACACACTGAAAACAGCTTTGGTAGCTTCCTAGTAAGTTGGATAATTGCATAAAATTTTGCCAGTAATTTGTAACATAAGGAAAACAAAACTGCTGTAAGTATAGTCAAAGCTTTTTTGATTAATGTCGATTTAAAGAAAAAAAACTCAGGCAGCCATAGTTAATCAACTTAATAGTTCATACATAATAACTACAACTTCTCCTCATTACTCCTTGCAGGGGAAGGGAAAGAAAATATTTAAGTGCTGAGATACCAAATGGATGAGATACTTTTAGTATAAAATTCAGCATATGAAGTTATGAAGATACCTACCAGCTGCCTGTGACTGCATAAAACTTCCGACTCCTGTAAGGTTAATAACAGCAGCTTGCTGTGCAGATAAGGCCTGTTCTTGACTGGTTGAACCTTGTTCAGAACCCTAAATGAAAAAATAATTAACAAAATGGAGTTGGTGAAAATAAATTAATATTTTTTCCGGTATGGGAAAAATACTAAGAGTGAGTCTTGTAAAAAAAAAAACAAAAACAAAAACAAGCTAAAAAGATAATTAGAAAATGTGAGAATAAATTTATGATTCTTTGGAAAAAAAAAACTTTCAGAATTGAACCTGTATTTATGTTTGATGCTATATTAATAATTCCTAAGGCTTTTACAAAGCTTCATTAAAACAATTTTTTTTTTGAGTTGGAGTCTCACTTTGTCGCCCAGACTGGAGTGCAGTGGCCGCTCCCAACCACCGCAGCCTCCACCTGCTGTGCTCCAGCGATCCTTCCACCTCAGCCTTCCAAGTAGCCGGAATTACAAGCGCGAGCTGCCACGCCCAGCTGATTTTTTATTTATTGTAGAGATGAGGTCTCACCAAGTTGCCCAGGCAGGTCTCGAACCCACGGTCTCAGGCAATCCACTCACCTCAGCCTCCCAAGGCACGGGATTACAGGCTGAGCCACCAAGCCCGGCTTGTCATGTTTTCTTAGTGTTGGCCCCCCTCCCTTACCTTGGGGAGGTGAATCTCCTCTTTCTCTCTCTCTAATTTACTTTCTAAATAAACTATATCTTCCAATCCAAAAAACCCAAAAAACAAAAAAGAATAACCTCAATTTAATAATCTAAGCTTCCACTTTAAGAAACTAAAAACTATAATCCAAGGAAATGTTCCAGAAATGAAGAGGACCTGAATCTACACATTAAAAGGACCCATGGAAAAGACATGGAAAGAAATTCTGACACAGATGCAAGTGAAAAGAATAGGCTTTAAAGATAAATACAAACCATTCAGGGCCTCTGGGCAAAATGATTAGATAAATAAAGCAAGATAATTAAACTGGCATCAGACTTCTCAAAAACATAAAAAGCAAGTCAACAGTAGTAAACATTTTCAATAAATTTAAAGAAAGAGACCTAAAACTATAGGACGACATTAAAATTAGAAATGTCATACAACCAAAAGGGTGAAAAGGCAACCCATGAATGGGGGAAAATATCTGCAAATCATATATGATATATATATATATATATATATATATATATATATATATATATATATATATATACACACACACACACACAAAGAGAGAATGTATAGAGAACCCCTTCAATTTGGTAATAAGAAAACAAATAACCTGATTAAAAATGGGCAAAGGACCTGAGTAGATTTTTCTCTAAAGAAGATAATACAAATGGCCAACAAGCATATGAAAAGCTGCTCTATATCACTAATCATTACGCAAATGCAAGTCAAAACCAATGAGATGATTGCCTCACACCTATTAGGATAGCTATTATAAAAACAACCCCCCCCCACAACAACCAGAAAATACAAAGTGTTGGTGAGGATTTGGACACACTGGACCATTGTGTACCATTGGTGGGAATTATATCAAATGGTACAGCCGCCACAGAAAAAAGTATGGTGCTTCATTAAAAAAATGACAAAATTATCACAGCAATTCAACTTCTGGGTATACATCCAAAAGAACTGAAAGCAGAGTCTGAAAGAGATAATTGTACACCCATGTTCAGAGCAGCATTATTCACAATATCCAAAAGATGGAAGCCTCCCAAGAATCCACCAATGAATGGATAAACAAAATGTGGCCTATGTGAGTATTATTCAACATTCAAAAGAAGTTCTGACATGTGCCACAACATGGATAAACCTTGAAGACTTTATGCTATGTGAAATAAGACAGACACAAAAGGACAAATACTTTATCATTTCACTTTATGAGGTTATCTTGACCAGTCAAACTCATAGAAACATAAAGTAGCAAATATACCAATTTGAACACTAATTAAAAATGTATCTAGTCCTATCAGATAACTGATACGCCTTTCAGGAAAAATTCTCATTTAAAAAATGGCTTAACTCCCTTTAAAGGCAGATGACATCTTTATCCTGCTTTCAAATACACTTTGATATTTCATACTTCATTTCTTAAAAGCACCAAGTGAAGTTAAGATAGTCTTACTCCCACTTTAGAGCAAATGATACTGAGGCTGAGAAACAAAAATGGAGTTTTCCTTTGGGAGGCTGAGGTGAGTGGATTGCCTGAGCCTGCAGGTTCGAGACCCGCCTGGGCAACTTGGCGAGACTTCATCTCTACAATAAATCAAAAAACTAGCCGGGTGTGGTAGCACGCGCCTGGAGTTCCAGCTACTTGGAAGGCTGAGGCGGAAGAATCACTGGAGCCCAGCAGGATGAGGCTGCGGTGGCCGGGAGCGGCCACTGCACTCCAGTCTGGGTGACAGAGTGAGACTCCAACTCAAAAAAAAAAAAAAAAGAAAAATGGACTTTTCTAAGGTTCCACAAGTTAGCAACTAAAGCCACGTGTAACTGATACAACATATAAATATTCAAAATTTGAGATTTGATTATTTTCAGGGCTTCTGCTACTAGAGCATGTTTGTTTGTTTGTTAAAAATAAGATTAGCTAAAATTGGAAAATCACAGCAACATGATAGCATGTTTAACTATATCCTCTGAGTTCTCTTTCTCATAACTCATGGAAAGTTTTTGATAAATTTTTCTTCCTATGTTCTTCCTATTCAATTCCAAGATATTATAATAACTAAGGGGAGGAAGAAACAGGGGATCATTATTTACTAGACACAGTTTCAGCTTTGCAAGATGAAAAAGTTCTACAAATCTTTTGCACTGTGTGAATACATGTAACATACTAAACTGCCCACTGTGATAAAATAGTAAAATTTGTTTATTTTACAATTTAAAAATTTTTAACTGAAAGCATATAAAAGATTTTTATCGAGCCAAGCGATCTTTAATGTGTTAAGAATTTTTTAAAAATAGTTTTGAACGCACCCTTCCTGAAGAATCTATACTAGAGGATGAGCTTTATCCAACCAACACTTGACCAGGGAAAGTTGGGCAAAAGGACTGATGGTGAACATTTCATGTAATTAAACTGTGAGCTAGAGAAACTCTGGGGGTGGGACCCAAAAATCTTTTTTTAAAAGTATCTGAGATGATTCTAAAATATAAACAAGGTTTATAAACACTTGTAGTTCCTTATAGTTCTTACTCAATTTCATTCTGTTTGGCAGTGTACAGTTATTTGTTTTTGTTTGTGTTCCTACTGCCCTGTCCTTCATGATAATAGGGACATTTCCATTCCAACAGCAACAAACTCATATAAACAAAAAGACGGGGTAGAAAATTACATAGGTCATTGGGGCAGAAAAACCTGGGTTTGAATTCCGGCTCTGCCACTCAATATATATAATAAGCAAGTCAGCTATCTGAATCTAATGCCTACTATGCAAGATCTAGGTGGCATCATCATCTAGCTGTTTTATTAGAAATGTGCACACAATAACTGATAGGTACTACTGCTCACAAAAACAGTTAAGGACATGTTTGTTTCAACAAATTATATAAAATGAAATATGTTTGAAATACATGAAAAAATATTATACGTTCTATGGCAAAAGCATATGGAAGACTGAAAGCCCTACCTGCTCCCCTGGCTGTTGAGGACTTGAAGTTGTGGGCTGCTGAGGTTGCTGTGGTGTAAACTGAGAGAGCTGCTGCTGCTGCTGCTGCAGGGTGTTAAAAATGAGCGAACCACCTGGAAGCTATTAAGAATTTAAACAAGTATTAACCAATTTCACATTATTTTTATATAAAATATTCCAATTTATTTATTCTACAAATATTTTGGATTATCTATTATGTGTCAGGTACTCTTCTAGTCACTGAGAGAAAACAAAAAGAAAACAAGTCGCGTGCCCTTAAAAAAAAGATTTAGAAAAAAAATTTTTTTTTTTTTGAGTTGGAGTCTCACTCTGTTGCCCAGACTGGAGTGCAGTGGCCGCTCCTGGCCACCGCAGCCTTGACCTGCTGGGTTCCGGAGATCCTTCCGCCTCAGCTTTCCAAGTAGCTGGAACTACAGGCGTGCGCTACCATGCCCGGTTAATTTTTTGATTTTATTTTTGTAGAGATGAGGTCTCGCCAAGCTACCTGGGCGGGTCTCGAACCCACAGGCTCAGGCAATCCACTCACCTCAGCCTCCCAAAGCGTGGGATTACAGGCTGAGCCACCGAGGCCGGCTTAGAAACAATTTTTAAGTACTTAGAGCTCCCAAATATGTTAATACTCTCAAATATAAATCTGCTTCAAGTTAATAGCCATCCAGATTTACATACTGTTTTAAATTTTACATTTTGTATTATACATTAATACAAAATAGCATTAAATGTTTAAAAAATATAAAAAAGAAGCTTGTCAATCAGAAATGTACAGTAAGAAAACCCATTGTTCAGCTGGGTGTGGTGGCTCATGCCTGTAATCCCAGCACTTTGGAAGGCCAAGGCAGGGGGATTGCTTGAGCCCGTGAATCCAAGACCAACTTAGACAAACATAGGGAGACCCTGTCTCTTGAAAAAAAATTCAAAAATTAGCTGGATGTGGTGGCATGCCTGTAGTTCCAGTTACTCAAGAGGATGATGGCTTGAGCCCAGGAATTTGACTGAGGCTTCACTGAACCATGATTGTGCTACTGCACTCCAGCCCGGGTGACAAAGACCTTGATTCAAAAACAAAGAAGAAAATCCCCCCAAATTTGTTCTAGCTTTGCCAAAAAAAGAAAAATGCATGAGTTTTTATATAAGGTAGTGAGGAATTCCACAGCTAAAAGCAAAGTGCATTAGATGTCTATCATTTAGTTTGGAGCCCATTATTTTCTCTGTCATTCTGGATCTAAATTAATTCAAATGGAAAGAAAATTGATTTAAGAAGCATCCAGAAAACTTCAAGTTAAAAGTTAAAACAATACTTTTCAAATTCACAAGAAAACAAATAGCTTTTCCATTTTAAGCTATAGGAATTTAAGTTATATGTACTTGCAGGGCCACAGGAGAATGGCCGCCAAAATATCTACTATAGAACTCTGTATGCTAAATCCAGCACAGCTCATCATTAGCTAAATTTGGACACAGCACAGGGCAAATGTTCTTTCCTCAATCAGTAAGTAATAAATGTAGAAAAATATAATAAACTCTTAAGGTAGCTTTGTCCTTATTACTTATTATCAGTGCTATAAAGGATTTCTACTCCTCTGAACACTGAGACTGGACTAGGAGCAGTGGTTCATGCCTGTAATCCCAGCACTGTGGGAGGTGAAGGCGAAAAGACTGTCTGAGCCCAAGGGTTCGAGAGCAGCCTGGGCAACTTGGTGAGACCTCGTCTCTATGGTAAATAAAAAAATTAGCTGGGTGTGGTGATGCACATGTGTAGTTCCAGCTACTTGGAAGGCTGAATCAGAAGAATGGCCTGAGTCCAGCAGGCTGAAGCTGTGGTGGCCTTGAGTGTGCCGCTGCACTCTGGCCTGGGCAACAGAGTGAGACTCTGACACACACACACAAAATCCAGATTGATCCCTGAAAGGAATTCCAAAAGCAATATGCAGGAAAGTAGGTTAAATAAACTGATGCGGTCTGTGGTGTTGTCCATTTCACAAGTACATGTTCTGCAATTACCATCTGCACATACTAACACTATTTGTACCTTGTATAAGAAATAAGTTTTAAGTTTCAGCTGTAATGAAGTTCTCAGTTTGTTACTCCTGAATACCAGGTTGGTTAACTTGTCTGATATTATTTCCTGACAGTCCTTAGCTCTGCCATTTCTTATCTTTGGATCTTTATATTCACATTGATCTTTACATTCTCTATAGATAACCCCAACTATTTTTCAAACTACTAGCTTAATGCCTTAGTCTTTCTTTAAATTACAGGACCTGGCACATGACTTGGAATATTGTAAATTCACATGTTCTAAATTGTCCATCTTTTATCTCTCTTTACGAATATGTGACACTGATAAATATGCAACAAAAGCAGAGCCTCATCATTAGATACATACTACACTCCAACAAACATTTATTGAATGACGATTAGGAGACTGCCACTGTGTTAAGAAATCATACTCTCCTCAGAAAAGGAACACATACCTATTTAAAAATCTCCACTGAAGCACAAGACCTCTTGTAAGCAAACAGTATTACATATATGTGCACATAAAATATCTGTTGGGAGAGCAATTATTTTGTAAGAAAATGCACTACTACTATCTTGGCAAATATCTTCCCTGGTATGTGTCAGTTCTCCCCACTTGCACCTAGTTCTTGATTAGGCAGAATTACCAGTGCCAATGAAATTGTGGTATATAGGATACCAATTCTTTCACCTTATCCACCTGACCACACAAAGATAGCAACAGTAACCACACCCTTAGAAGATTCTTTTTTCTTTTTGAGTTGGAGTCTCACTCTGTCACCCAGACTGGAGTGCAGTGGCCGCTCCCGGCCACCGCAGCCTCGACCTACTGGGCTCTGGCGATCCTTCCGCCTCAGTCTTCCGAG